TCCATGGGGGAGAAGAAGGAGAAATATAGTTGGGGAGAGGGAGAGAGGCACACCATGAGAGACTCTTGAATGCTGAGAACTGAGGGCTGATGGGGGTGGGGGGAGAGGGGAAGGGGGGTGATGGGCATGGAAGAGGGCACTTGTTGGGATGAGCACTAGGTGTTATATGGAAACCAACCTGACAATAAACTATTTTAAAAAAATGAATTATGTCAGTTATCATATTTCTATGGTATGCAGGTTCCACGGAAGAGCTTTAAAAGAACAATGTAACAGTTTTGCCCAGGTCATGATCTCACAGTTTGTGGGATCCAGCCCCCTGTTGGGCTCTGTGCAGACAGCATGGATTCTCTCTCTCTCTCTCTCCCCCTCTCTCTCTGCTCCTCCCCTGCTCGTGAGTGCGCTCTCTCTTTCTCTCAAACTAGACATAAAAAATAAAATAAAATGAATGAAATGAATGAAGTAATGAATGGATGCAGAAAGACTTGTAATAGCTGAAGGAGGGAAGGGAATCCAGGAGCCGTGTCTAGTTGGCTGGCTAGCTGCGAGGAGGTCTGGGGAGGAAAGTGTATTTGACTTTATTTTCCACAGTGCTACTGAGACATAATGCACACACCATACACTTCACCCATTAAGGTGTAAAATTCAATCGTTTTTAGTATATCCAGAGTTGTGCTGCCATGAATCACGACCATCGGTATTAGCGTATTTTCTCACCCACAAAGACTCACCATACCTGTTAGCAGGCGCACACACACACCTCTAATTTTCCTTAACCCCCCAGTCTCTGTCAACCTACTTTCTGTCTCTACTTTCTGTCTCTCTGGCTCAGCTTATTCTGAGTATCTCACATAGATGGAATCCTACCACTTAGCATCATGGTTTTGAGGGTCACCCGTGCTGTAGTTTGTGTCGGGTGTAAGTTTGATTTTGAATATGCTGAATCTGAGGTGCCTTCGAGAGGCTCTGTGGAGGCAGCTGGACTTCTGGGGCCCTAGAGAGTGATCAGGGCTGAAGTCATCACCAGAGGTAATGGCTGGAACCTTGGGAAGAGGTGAGGGCAGTCAAGGCAAGTAGAAGGAGTAAACAGAGAAGAAAGGATAGAATGCTAGAGGATGCTTATATTTTTTAAGGACACATGGAAGAAGGGAAACCATCAAATAAGACAAAGAAGTCAGAGAGAGAGAGAGAGATAGTGAACTGGAGGCTCCAGAGGTCATAAATGTCTGATGGTGATGACGGTGCACTTCAGGTCCAGGGACACAGTGGGTGTATGACAGATTCTTGCTGATGCACCTGATCTTGGCTCCCATTCTATCTTTGTGCTCCATGACTTTCAAGGGTTTCTTCAACCCCAAGGGCCACAGATCCCAGTCTCTACCTTCCTTCTTGCAGCGTCTTTACAATCTCTCCCTTCTCCCTTTCCTGTCCACGGGCAGAGCCCTGGTGGGCACCTCGCTGACAGGCACCCTGAGGACTGAGAGAATCGGCGATGCTACAGAGGTCCAGGTCTCCCTAACTAAACACCCAGTCACTAGCATTTTCTCAGAGGCAACGTTCTCAGAGGTGGCGTGAATTTTTACTACGTTCTTTGTCCTACTCCCTCAAGAGTTTCTGAAAGTCTTGTGATGAGCAGAGGGAATGTAAGGGGGGCACTTGTGAATGACTGTGAATAGACCAGCCTGATTCCAGGTGGTAAGAGACATGCCTCCCACCCCCTCATCGTCTAGCCCAGGCACAGATTCCGAGAGAAAGGAGACACAATAGAAGACAATGTGGGTGCCAGAATGGGATGAATAATGACAAACACCAGATAAATTAGGAGGAACGTTTCAGTTCTGTACTACTTAATACTGCTTGGGAATCCTGCTACTTTGTAGGTAGCTGGAGAGTCACAGTCGGTCTTGTGAAGCGGGACCAGAAGACATATTGGGAGCACATCTAGGATCTCCCCTACTCCTTCCTGAGACCGTCTGGTGTCAGAGGGAGGAAGCACGTGAATGATGGCCCAGTGACCGGACCGCACTACAGATGAACATCCCGAGACTTTCAAGTCACGAGCGATCAGCCCAGGCATTTCACCACCGCTGGGGGCTGAGCAGTCCAGACAAGGTCAGCCTGGACCTTCCTGGTGGACTGTGAGGCAGGTACGGCTGTTCAGGTTTGGGTCTGGTTTCAGGCTTGAGCAGCTCCAGGGCCTCTAGATTAATTAACCGGTCATGAAGCTTTAATTAATCTAGGTGGCGATCTAGTAACAATATAAAGAATGAATTCTCTTTTAGGGCAAAAAGTCAAAACAGCAGTGCACAGATGCTACCCACACTATGGCTTCTTTCCAGGACAGGATCTTCAAAGTGCCCTCAATGCAGAAGCTTGAGATGAAAAGTGATATAAATGGTACCTCACATTCAGTAACTCCGTTTGAGCAAAAGTGTCCCTAATTGAAGGAAAACGGGAAGTCAGCAACACTAGAAAAAACCAAAGACTCCAAGCCTTCACCCTCTTTTCTTCAGGGCATAAAGGCTGAGGTGACACAAAGGAACAGGTCTAAGCCATCAGTGTACGCACATGGAAGGGGCTTTCAGAGCGGCACAATTCCCTGGTGGCAGCCCAAAGGCCAGGTAAGCCTTAGGTACCTTAGTTCAGACCTCGGTGGAAACAGAGAAGCTGCAGTGCCTCGTTCCTTACCCTAAAGGGTAGGAGGATGTGGAACTCAACTGCCAAGTAGGAAGCTAATCGTGTGGTCTGCACCTATTTCATGCCACACTTGTGGAGCTGGGCCTGCGCAAACACAAATCTATAAGACAGCCTGTGTACGCCTTGCTTGTAGGGACTGACGGAGCCAGAATGTAAAAGCCCATGTCAAAGCTGCAAGACAGAGACATACAAAGTAGCATCCAGAAGGGCAGGCCTAGGAAAAAGAGCAGCACACAGTGAATGTCACAGAACACAGTATATGGGACTACTTCTAAAGCCCTCGGATGGCAGAGAGAGACAAAGGGGGGCAGGCTGTGACCGGCACCGGGTGTTAATTGTAACTGCTACAGTGTAGAGGACATAAAAAGCCTAGGCCCTCGGGGCGCCTGGGTGGCTTAGTCGGTTGAGCGGCCGGCTTTGACTCAGGTCACGATCTCAGGGTTTGTGGGTTCAAGCCCCGCGTCGGGCTCTGTGCTGACTGCCAGCTCAGAGCCTGGAGCCTGTTTCAGTCTGTGACTCCCTCTCTCTCTGACCGTCACTCCCCTGCTCATGCTCTCTCTCTCTCCTAGAAATAAATAAAAATATTTAAAAAAAAAAAAAAAAAAGCCTAGGCCCTAAACACCAGGGACTCAGAGTAGCTTGAGGCTTCCTCTAGGACACACTTCTTAGGCCCTCAGATGAAGGTCTGATGTCTGGTTTCTATCTGCTGCTACGTGAGGCTGGTGGTCAGTGTGGTCTGGGAGCACTGGGGGGTCGGGAGGAACTGGGCACGCTGAGGCTAAGCCAAGGATGACTACACGGCACAAGCTCAGTGAGCGTATAGAAACTGCAGGCTGAGGCAGACGGTCAAGCCCTCAGGAGCCCCCAGTCAGGTAAAAACTAGAGGTAAAAATGGAGTCAAAGGAAGCTAACAGAGCCGACAGAAGAGAAACGCGCAACAGGTACCCAAATCCCAACCTTGCAACTGAGGAAAAAGCTTGCCTCCACCTTCCTCCTTGAGGGGAAATCGGTGACTCACTTCCCCGTCAACAGCCAGGCTGCCATCTGTGAAGGGGGACAAATGCCTAGAAGATCTGCTGCAAAGCAACGTGCCGCATGAGACAGGGAGAAAAGCAGCGCGTCAGTCCAGCAGTAGGGAAGGCTGTAAGGGCAGAGTGCGTCCAGGTACACTCATGCTCTCAGGGAGCAGATGGCGTTCATGGCCTCAGTAACATCGAGAGCGACATGCACGGTGAAACGAGAATTTCCCCTAAGGTATTCAGTTAAAATTGGGGTGTGGGCGGTGAGAGAAGTCACAGAAGGTAGTATAGTTAACGCTAAAGCTGAAAAAAACACAAAAACAGTTGCCAATTCCATTCTACTAGTCCATCTTCTGAAAAAGAAGTTTTACTAAAATCACTAAGCAAGCTCAGGCTAAAGGCTTCACAAGTATGAATGGTTAAGGGCACATTTACGGTTAGAAAATTTATAGAACCACCCGTTGGACTATATGATGGCAACACTGGACACACATCCATTTCTCAGAGAAAATACAGCCCCAAGTTAACAAAAATGAGTCAGAAAGTTGGCAAACATGCCTCACTCACTGATGTAATGTTATTGTTCTCATTTAAAAGATACAGAATGTAACTTCATATCATTTTATGCTGCACTGTGAAATACCAACATGACAAATTTAAATAAAATCAACCCACAACTAAACAAACAGAATTCAAATTATCAAGAAATTTTTTATTGACATTAAAAGTTAGCACATGTGGCGATGGTTGCCAAGCATTATGAATGTAATTGCTACCAATGAATTGTAGACTTAAAAATTGTTAAAATGGCAACCTTTATATGTATTTTATCACAATAAAAAACACATGAACGGGGGGGAGGGGAGAAGAGTTAGTGTATTTTGCAACTGTGTGTCCTTTTGAAACAGTCAGTTCAATATTTTTTGGTACTGAGATCATTCACATTGTAGAAGGTGAAAATACACCAGTTAAAAGTTTTTACCTGAATTTCCATTTCAGAGATTAAAAATACAACAGAAATCCCAAAGTAGAAAGTTCAAACAGCTGACATGGTCACAGCATTTGGGGCATAACTGCCAAGAGCATTTGAACAGTAGACAGTCTCACGACTCTTACCATCACTCTGAACTTTTTCTTCAACTATCATGCAATAACAACATTTGTGAAATCCAGGTTGTAACTTAAGTCAAAATTAAATTAAAAAAACATTTGATCTATTCAATATCGATGATTTAGGAGTTCAAAAGTCACTTTACGTTTTTAAATGATCATAATGCAACTAACCTTTTTTTTCCTCAGTAATTTTTCTCTGAATTTATTAGTGATAAATCCCCTTGGGCCAGCAAATCGTAAACGCTGATATTTAGCCTGAATGTATAAGCTCTTCTGTACTAGGCCTGATTTGTAATGAGGCTGGAATCTGCCACCTGTAAAGTTGGTCTGTAAAGAAAAAAATAATTAAATGTAAGTACTATAGCTTCCAAATCTATTAGTGTAAGAAATGGGAAAATGTCCGGTACCCGGAGCTGCCCTTGGTTTTAGCCACTACATATATCAAAAAGAGGTTATCGATGGTAATAAAGTTTGCTTACCTCAAGCTAGCTTCCTAGTTTATTTTACATAATGATTTTTAAAATAATTTACATAAAAGCAATTTTTCAAACTAAGTTAAAACATTTGAAATTCTTGAAATTTATCATGTAAAAAAATACCACTTTCAAAACCTTATCTAATGAGCTAAAATCATCCTTCGGGGGGCACCTGAGTGTCTTAGTAGGCTAGGCATCCACCTTTGGCTCAGGTCATAATCTCACAGTTCAAGGGTTCAAGTCTTTTGTCAGGCTCTATGCTGACAGTGCAAAGCCTACTTGGGATTTTCTCTCTCCCTCTTTTCCTGCATGCCCCCCCACCCCCTTCCTCTCTCTCAGTGACTAAATAAATAAATAAAAACTTTTTTAAAGAAGCTTCTAGGGGTGCCTGGGTGGCTCAGTCAGTTAAGCGTCCAACTTCGGCTCAGGTCATAGTCTCACAGTTCATGGGTTTGAGCCCGACATCGGGCTTTGTGCTGACAGCTCAGAGCCTGGAGCCTGCTTCAGATTCTGTGTCTCCCCCCCGCCCCCCCCAACCCCTCCATCTCTCTCTTTCTCAAAAATAAACAAAACATTAACAAAAAGGCTTCTAATATTATCCTTCTGATTCACAGCAAAATATATCAAATCCCAAGTTGGGGGAGGACATTAGCTATTAACATCTATTTAAGAATCAAAAACTCTCTAGGGGTGCCTGGATGGCTCAGGGGGTTGGGTGTCCGACTCTTGATTTTGGTTCAGGTCATAATCTCACGGTTCGTGAGACTAAGTCCCATGTCAGGCTCTGTGCTGGCAGCTGGAGCCTGCTTGGGATTCTTTCTCTTCCTTCCTCTGCCCCTCCCTGGCTCTAAATTAAACAAACAAACAAACAAACAAACAAACTTTAAAGAAAGAAAAAGAATCAGAAAACTCTCTTTATTCCTGTCAGTACCTTCAAAAGCCAATCTTTCTTTACCACAGAAATCCCATTACAGCAAATGTTTTCATGATAAGAGTTTACATTGAAAAAGACCAGTTCCTGGCCTGCATACTGCCCAATATTATAAGAGACATAAGAGGACAATGAATATTTGTTGATTTCGCTGTGGGTAATGTACAAATCGTATATTATAACGGAGTAAGTATCAAAACCAAACATATTCCTGTATCCACAATTACTTAACAAATGGGTATATCGTGCATAATGAAGCATATTAGTTTATTTAAAAAAAACATATATGCCAGGCCTATTTTCCAATTATTTTCTTAAGCCTACAAAAAATTCAGGTAAAACAGAATTATAATGAGACACAACCGTTTTATTAAAGCTATCTGCACAAACTTAACAAAGAAGAGCTAATCTTGAAATTTACACTGCCCATTTTTACATATCTAATAAAGTGATTACTATCTGGCTTTTAATTAGTCCAACTCGTGTAAAAAACAAATTTTCATGAAATGGTTCCTTTTCTTAGAAAGGATTACTTCTTCTCTCGATTTTACTATAAAGAATTATGAATTTCTAAATAATCATATAACATTACACAGCTTTAAATGACTGGTCAAAAGATTATTACATATATTTTGAAAAACATTTTTAAATAATTAACATTAAAGAATTTCCCTTAAGAAGAAAGGGTAGCAGGAAATGGGCCTTGCAACAATCTTAGAAAAATACTACAATCAACTACACGTGGCTGATGAGAAGAACATGTAGGAAGCACTCATATGGGAAAGCCCAGCTATACTATCTCCAAGTCACACAGGCATCACATTCTCAGTTGGTTTTCTGGCTCATTACTCAAGAGATTAAAAGATGGGATAAAACATGTTTACATATTCTATGGCCTTTGCCATAGAATATTTTTGAAAAAACCTAACATCATACCTGTTTTTAGGTACGTCAAACACTGGCTAAAAATGTTATGTACACAACACCTTCAAAATGTTACTGCAAATGAAAAAAATCTTTGGACATCTGAAAATTATGCCTCTCAGCCAGCCAGGTATTAAAAAAGGACCACTCACAACTACCTCCAGGTATATGGTTTGGGGAAAGTTTATACTACCTTTACGCTCATATTACCTTCCTCTGAATGAGCTAACGACTCTTACCAGGTCTGCCTGCTACTTTCACAAAAAAAAGCCTAGATTATTTTCTTCTTTCAAGGGGGAGGGGACAGAGACCTTATAGAGGTAAAAATATTAATAAAGTACCTATCACATAAGCAGGAAACGTGGTTAAAATGGATTTAAAAAGGATGTCAACTTCTGAGAGCAAGGAGAGAGAAATACAGCACTTTACACTGTAGTTCTTATTCCCTATGTCTGTGTGATGAGGTGTTCTGAATAAGCAATCACATGAGACCTAGCTGTCCAAATCATTAGAATGCAATGAAATAGGCTTGAACAAAGTGCGCTGGACCAGAATCTTCCTCAGATGATGGCAAGGGCCTCAGAGGGTCATACACCTATGGGGAGGAGTTTTCAATCTGTGAACCCTGGAGAAGGTTCGTAGAGCTAAGGTGTAAGCCTTAGAGGTAAAGCTTAAAGGGAAGGTCTTGAAACTTGTCTACCTCCTCATCTGTGTCTGTTTCATGTATTTGTGTTTTCCATGTAATGTCTGAAAAAGGATTCCACTGGTAAAAAAAAAAAAACAATTTTGAAAATCAAGTCCTAAAGAAAAAGGTTATACTTAAACTGATTACAATTATCTATAAATTTAGGGCCAGGAATCTTAGTGAATAGCCACTGTTTGAAATATCACAAAGGCAGCTTTTAATCTACTAACACTCAGCACATTATGTTCAAAGCATAAACACAGAGCTGGAATTAGATGGAAAATAACACTTAATACCTTAAAAGATCTTCTAAAGTTTGAGGTGTTTTGATGGTTTCCCTCAGCTCCAGAGGGTTTGTGAGTAATGATGCTTTTTTCCTGCACGGTAAAATTCTGCATGAAAAAAGTAGGAGTATGGGTTAATATACTTTAAAGTTTATTTTTAAAAGTTCACCTTACCATTTTAAAAAATATATGAGTTTTGGGGGTGCCAGGGTGGCTCAATTGGTTAAGTATCCAACTCTTGGCTTCTGTTCAGGCCATGATCTCAAGATCTGTGAGATGGAGCACCTCATTGGGCTCTGTGCTGACAGCACGGAACCTGCTTGGGGTTCTCTCTCTCCCTCTCTCTCTGTCCTTCCCCCAGTCACTCTTTTTCTCTCTCTCAAAAAAAAAAAAAAAAAAGCATTAAAAAAGTTCAAGTTTTGGGCAGAGGATCTGAATGCGCATTTTTCCAAAGAAGACATCCAGATGGCAAACAGACAGATGAAACAATGCTCAACATTGCTCAATATCATCAGGGAAATGCAAATCAACACCACAATGAAATATCATCTCACACCTGCTAGAATGGCTAGAATCAAAAACACAAGAAACAACAAGGATGTGGAGAAAAGGAACCCTTGTGCACTGTTGATAGGAATGTAAATTGGTGTAGTCACCGTGGAAAACAGTATGGAGGTTCCTCCAAAAATGAAAAATAGAAATACCATATAACCAAGTAATTCCAACACTGGATGTTTACCCAAAGAAAATGAAAATACTAATTCAAAAAGATGTATACACTCGTTTATTACAGCATTAGTTACAACAGTTAAGATATGGAGGCAACCTGGGGCACCTGGGTGGCTTAGTCGGTTAAGCGTCCGACTTTCGCTCAGGTCATGATCTCGCGGTTCGTGGGTTCGAGCCCCGCGTCGGGCTCTGTGCTGACTGCCAGCTCAGAGCCTGGAGCCTATNTCTGTGCTGACTGCCAGCTCAGAGCCTGGAGCCTATTTCAGAGTCTGTACCTCCCTCTCTCTCTGACCCTCCCCTGCTCACGCTGTCTCTCTCTCCTAGAAATAAATAAAAAATATTAAAAAAAAAAAAAAGATATGGACGCAACCTAAGAGTCCATCAATAGATGACTGGATAAAGAAATGTGGTCAATATACGATGGAATATTACTTGGCCATAAAAAAGAATGAGATCTTGCCATTTGCGACAACATCGATGGACTTAGAGGGTGTTATACTAAGCGAAATGAGTCAGAGAAAGACAAATGCCTTATGATTTCACTTATATGTGGAATATAAAAAAGCCAAATGAATAAAAAGCAGAAAAAGACCCATATATACAGAGAACAAACTGATGGTTGCTGGAGGAGAGGGGGTGAGGAGATGGACAAAACAGATGAAAGGGAATGGGAGATACAGGCTTCCAGTTACGGAATAAATCAGAGGCTGAGTGAGTCACAGAGATGGGAGATACAGCACAGGGAATGCTGTGAGTGGCACAGTAATCATGTTGTATGGGGACAGATGGTGGCTACACTTGTGGGGAACACAGCGTAGCATACAGAGTTGTCGAAATCACTATGCTATACACCTGAAACTAATGTAACACTATATGTCATCTACACTTCAATAAGAAATATTTTTAAAAAATTTTTAATAAAAAATACATTTTTTAATAAAGTTTTAAAAGATTTATTTATATTTGAGAGAGAGAGACAGAGAGAGAGAGAAGGCACAAGCAGGGGAAAATGGAGACAGCATATGAAGCAGGTTCTAGGCTCTGAACTGTCAGCAATGAGCCCAACACAGGGCTCAAACTCACAAGCCGTGAGATCATGACCTGAGCCAAAGTTGGATGCTCAAGGAACTGAGTCACCCAGGTTCCCCCCCACCCAAAACACATTTTAAATGTATAGGATTAAGAACACAAAACCTGAGCATATAGCTTAGCTGTAGGAACATATACACATCTTCCTTCACATAACCCATGCTAGTCTGTGAGGGGCTAGTTTAATTTATGAATGTGAGAAGCATTAAAAAAATACTCCTATATAATACAATGCATGACGTTTAGAAAAATGACTATACATCTCGGATTTATTCTGGCACCCAGAAGAGAACCAAACCCATCGTTATCTGGAGTTGCAAGAGAGTTCCCACTGCCTCCACTACAGGAGGCAAGTCACGCTGGCCCAGAGAACTGATTTGAGCTGATGCTCCTGCCATGATTAGGAAAGTATCAAAAGTCACAGTATTAAGACTGTAACTGCAAACAACCGGAATCCTTTAATGGGAACAGAAACAAGGGGGCCCATTCTGAAGTTTTTTTTTTTTTTTTCCAAAATCAAGTGTTACTAACCTTTTTAAAAATTTTTTTTTAATGTTTATTTATTTTTGAGAGAGAGAGAAAGAGAAACAGTGTTAGCAGGGGAGGGGCAGAGAGAAAGGGAGACACAGAATCCAAAGCAAGTTCCAGGCTCTGAGCTGTCAGTACAGAGCCCGATGCGGGGCTGGAGCCCACCAACTGTGAGATCGTGACTTGAGCCAAAATTCGATGTCTAACCGACTGCGCCACCCAGGCGCCCCAAGTCTTATAACCTTCTATTTATTCCATTTGCTGTACTTCTCACAAATCTTCCTCTTTCATACCTTTATTTCTGCCTCCAGTGTCATATAAAACCCTTTTCACAGTAGGCATCTTGAATTTATATTAAGTCTATAAATTTGAATAAGTGCATAATGATACATGTAATGAGATGACACTTTGGGGAACCCTGGTAGAGAGGGGTATATTCTGCAAGTGAAGGGATGTGAATCACTGGGGCTCAGCAGAAGGACTGTACCAAACACCTGATCAGGCTCTCAGTGCTCCCCACCTTCTAGTATCCAGGCCTCTATGTCATTCCCTTCCTTTGAGTAGGAGCCGGACCTAGTGACTTGCTTCTTACAAACAGCATCATAACCATAGTGACAGAACATCACTTCTGAGATTACATCACAAACAGACCCTGGCTTCCAACTTCTTAGCTGTCACTTGCTCCTATTTTGAAAGCCAGCTGACGTTGTTTTTAATGTTTATTTACTTTTGAGAGAGAGAGAGAGAGAGAGACAGAGTGTGAGTGAGGGAGGGGCAGAGAGAGAAGGAGATGCAGAATCTGAAGCAGGTTCCAGGCTCTGAGCTGTCAGCACAGAGCCCAACGTGGGGCTCGAGCCCACAGACCATGAGATCATGACCTGAGCTGAAGTCGGACGCTCAACCAACTGAGGCACCCAGGCGCCCCATCCAGCTGACATTTTTCGAACTGCTTTACGAAGAGGCAAATCTTCAGAGACAGAAAATGGATGAGTGGTCAGCCAGGGGTGGCAACAGGGAATAACTAAATAAGTACAAGGGCTGTTTCTGGGGTCATGGAATGTTATAAAACTGGACTATGGTGATGGTTACACATCTTGGTAAATTTAGAAAAAAATCATTAAAGTGTATACCTAAAATGGGTGAAAATTTTATGGTATGTAAATTATACCTTAATAAAGTTGTGCCAAAAAAATCTTGAGAAACCTAGTACTATAATAAATGGAAAAAAAAAATCCTAAATTAGAGAGAACTATTTCTTCTCTCATAATAAGACTCAAAAGAATATTAACACTGAACAAAAGAATCGTAACACATACCGAATGAACAGTTAGAAACATTATGGAAAAAACGCTGGTGATCTCTATACATACACATATACGTGAGGAGAATGGAGTGTACAAAAATGAAAAACTTGGAGCTGCAATCTTACCATGTGTGATTTCTGAATAAATTTTCTAAAATTTGATTTTGTAAAACCTGTAGGTTTTTGGAATTCATCAACATGAATATTCTTCAACGCTGAAAAACTGGAATGCTCATCATTCCTAATAAAATGAAAGAGAGAAAATAACAATATTTTATTAGTTTACCTTTATCCCATAAATAAAGATTATCCCATAAATAAAGAGAAATCCAACTGCCCCCTTCAGAGTCAATCAAAGCAGCAAAACAGTAAAAAAGAAACAAAACAAGAAAACAAAACAAAAACGCTCAAAGACTCTAAGATCCATCACTACTAAAATTACAAATCAGAGTTACCAGGGCTAAACCCTTTACATTTCAACAAACGTTATTTAGCTAAGTTGGAAAGTTGGAAGTCAGCAACAGCGGAAACAGTATTCCCTCGACCAGGGCTCTAACTCTGGGCTCCAAGGACAGGTGTCCTGGGGGCTGTCATCCCCTGAAACCATATGCAGAATGTGTGTTTTCTGAGGGAAGAGAGAGTCTGCTCTTGAGGGTGGCAGTATAGGAACCCCCCCCCCCCACTTCCTGATAGACTCTTATTAATGAAAGCAGCAGAGACGAAGAGTGTGACTGGCTCAGGTCCCCTCACTGGCAGAGCTGAGACCTCTGACACTGCCGGGCCACAGAAGTGAAAGACAGCTCCCCTCTCATGTCGTCACAATGTCCAGAGGCCGCCAAAGCCTCTCCTCAGGCTGCCAGACCCAGGAGGGAAGGTCCTTCCTCGGGCATCTCCTCTGGCCCTGGGGCCTCACTTTCGCGGCCCGTCCCACAGTCCTCTCCTTGGCACCCGCCACCTCTCCCCACGGTGTCCTCAGACCCTCCCGGCTGTGTGGGGAACACACTGCTCACTGTCGCAGCCCCGCTTCATCCCTTCCACGGGCCCCCCCAATGACGTGAGGATAAAATCCACATCCCCATCACCATCTGCCAGGCCCTTCCTGCCCTGGCCCTGGCCGCCTCACCAGCCGCTTCGCTCGAGTCTCCCCAGCACGCACACTGAGCGTGGGGAACATTTAGCGACACGCAGTTCCTGACACACACCACCATCTCTCCTGCTTCTGCGAGTCTGCAGGAATCATTCCTTCTGTTGCAACTTCCTCCCACTTGGATCAGCTTCAAGATTTAGCTCCACGTGCACTGTTCCAGGAAGGCTTTTCCAGACCCTTCTGAGGGGGACTAGTTAGTGCCCCTGCTCTGCACACGTGCAGCACTTGGGAGTCCTCACACGTATCACTCGGGTCTGTAACTGCTGGAGCAACCGCCTGTCTTCTCCAGCAAGGTGTGATCCCTTAACAGGAGACACTGTGCATCGTTCATCTTGTGGCGCCAGTTTTGACCCCCAAACCTGACACAGAACAGCCACTCAGGGTATTTTGAAATGTTAAAAACTCTCCCGTTCTGTCGAAACGCTCATGATATGAGTGTAAGTTAAAAGAGTAGGGTGCAAAGCTGGGATGGTTTTTTTAAAAGATTTATTATTTTGGGGGGCGCCTGGCTGGCTCGGTCGGTAGAGCTACTCTTGGTCTCGGGGTCTCGAGCCCCACGTGGGGCCTGAGCCAGCCAGGCGCCCCGAGGATAATTGTAATTACTTAGAATAAACTACATATATGCCCAGAAAAAATAAATAACAGGAAATGTACTAAATATTAACAGTGATCATCTCTGACTCATGAAATTAAGAAGGTCTCATATTTTTATTTTTACACTTTATATTTCCAAATATTTGCCACTAGCATGTACTATTAATTGTATAAACAAAACAATGGACTTTAAAAAATCCTCTTTGCAAAGCATATATCTGATAAGGGAATAATGTCCAGAATATATAAAGGACTCTTTACATCCAATAATAAAAATATAATAATCCAATTTAAAATATGGATAAAGGATCTGAATAGGTATTTCTCCAAAGAAGACCCATAGAAAGCCCATGACAAGATGCTCAACATCATTAGCCACCAGGGAAATGCAAACCCAAACCACAAATGTTATCCAAAATGAGATAACATTTTACACCCACAGGATGGCTATAATCAAAAAGGTGACCCCACCAATGTTCGGAACAGCACTGTTCACAACAGACAAAAGACGGAAACAAACTAAATGTCCATCAACAGAACAACGGACAAATAAAATGTGGTTTATCCATACACTGGAATATTATTCAGCCTTAAGAAGGAGTGAAAGTTTTCTAAAAATGAAATTCTGACACACGATGCAACATGGATAAAAACATCATCCGAAGTGAAATAAGCCAGACACAAAAGGACAATTATTGCACGATTCCCCTTACATACACGAGGCACTTAGAACAGGCAAATTCACGGAGATGGCAAGAACAGAGGCTGTCGGGGGCTGGAAGTAGAAAGGATGGGGAGTCACTGTTTAGTTGGTACCGTTGCTGTTTGAGAAGATGAAAAGATTCTGTACGTGGCAAGTGTGGATGGTTACACAACACTGCAGGTGTACCTAATGCCAATGCATCATACACTTAAAAAATGGTTAAGTCAGTAAAATTTATTATATGTATATTTTGCCACAATAAGAACATTTAAACCCTTTGATATCTGATTTCTGACCGGCCTCCCGGCTGCAAGGTGGGGCCATGAGACTAAATTTTGACCAAAGTTGCTGAGGTGGCATGTAAAAATTCCAGGAGGTTTTTGAAGAAAAGGCTAGAATACAGACATGATGGCTAGGATGCAAACAGTCACCCCGGCCCATGAGGCAGCCGCCGCGTGCAGAGGATGTCTGAGAAGCAAGCTCTCAGGAGACTGGTTTCCTGCTGGGTCCGCCCTACCTACCACGCTCTGACTTCCGGACTGTAATCTTTTTCTACACGAGAAAGAAATAATTTTTTCTCCTGGTCTTACAGGCCATTCTCTACCTAGAAACCAGGGTGAATCTTCTAAAATTTAAATGAGATTATATTTCTTCTCGAGTTTAATCTCACTCAAAGTAAACTACAGAGTTGTCATGTCCTTCGCAATTTGGCTTCATCTACTTCTCTTCTTTTCCTCACTGTGTTATAACCCCACTGGCCTGCTTTCTATTCCTTTTTTTTTTTTTCTTGTTTTCTATTCCTTAAATAAGAGTAAGCATGATCCTACCTGAGGGTCTTTACCTTTGTTGTTCCCGCCTTAAAATACTATCCCCTCCAAAAACCTTACTAATTCCTTAACTCCCTCGCTTAATTCACATCCCTGCTCAATTAAAAAAAGAAATCCTACGTGCATTTCATAGCTGCCCTAGATAAAATCACACCACACGCATCACTCTGTCCTATTAAACTTCTTCTGCCTTATTTTCACCTATCACTCATCAATATGTATGTATTTATTTTCTCCAACCATGAAAAAGTACAAGCTTGACAAGGACTAGGAGCTTGTGTATACTTTTTCACTGTATATTGTCTGTACCCTCTGTAGCTAAAAGGAAAATCTCTGCAGCCTGATGTCCCCTCAAAGTCTATCGACTCTCTTTTGAAGCTGCTTTATCCACCGCCCCCCCCCCCAACATCATGCCTATGCAGTTCAACACCTTGGTAACACTGTATGGAACTCGGGAATGGTGGTTACAAGAGGGAGAAATAGTGGGTTGGGAGAGAACATGGAGATGTTAGAGTAAGAGATCAGTCAGGAGTAGGGAGACAAAAAGAGAACACAGTCTTCAAGACGAGACAGAATGTCCTAGCGTCGGGCTCGCTTGGGAAAGATTACCTAAGGTATGAGGGAGTAAAGAGTAATCAAGGTTTAAATGTGTTACAGTGTAAGCATCCTTTGTCCTATCTGCTTCTTGCAGTCTTCGCTCCTTCAACAGCTCTGAAGTGAGTTCAAGGCAGTGGGGGTACAGTGCTGAGGAAACACAGACACAGGGTCTGCAAATAACTGTTTGAGGGGAAAAAAGATCACAGAGGTGGGAAATTGCTACATCTTGTGCTTAGTGATTTCATATTTCATTTCTTCTAAATTTCTCTACAAATCTAAACACTGCCATGACTAAAAAGGTTTGTGCAAAAATATTAATGAGGTCAATTTCATACACTGAATTTCTAAGACAAAAGAATAAAATCAAATGCCTTTTCTTATTTTAAGAAGGAAACCGATTTAGGATAAAGTTAAAGGTTCTAAATCATTTTTTTTTCTAAATCACTTTTTTCCAAAAAGATGAACAATAACAAGTGCTGGTGAGGATGCGAAGAAGCTGGTGAAAATGTAAACGAGGCAGCCACTGTGGAAAACAATCTGCTAGTTCATCGAAAAGTTACACACAGAGTTATCAAATGACTCGGCAAATCCAATCCTAAGTACATATACCCAAGAGATGTGAAAACACAGGTCCACACAAAAGCCTGCACACGAACGTTCACAGCCTCACAATTCACCACAGCCAAAAAGTGGAAAAGAACCCAGATGTCCGCCCACCGCTGAATGGACCAACAAAACGTGGTTATCCATACAGTGGAGTATCATTCGGCCATAAAGGGAATATTCATGCAACGACATGGAGGGATGCTGAAAACAATATGCTACGTGAAAGCAGTCAGTCACAAAAGGCCTCACGTTATAGGAGTGCATCTATAGGAAACATCAAGAAAAGGAAAACCCACAGAGACAGAGGGGAGGTAAGGGGGTGCCAGGGGCAAGGCGGGAAGAGAAACGGAATGACAAGGCTTACAGGGCTTCGTTTTGGAGTGATGAAACACCGCTCTGTGAATATACTAAAAACTACTAAATTGTTCACTTTCAAAGGGTGAATTTTATGGTAAGAAATATCCCAAATTAAAAAAAAAACCCATGGCTCCACTATGCCACACCAGCCTTCCAATAAAAATAAACTAGTCCAATCTGGCCAGCAAAAGGCATTCTGCAGAAAGACATCTCTGCATGCTCTGCACAGCCTTCAAAGCGAACATCCACGACTCCTAAGGCTGAGCAGCTACTCTGTATCTCACACCCGTCACTTTAATCTTCACCACCACCGTGATGGAAGTATAATTCTCATCTCTATTTTACACATGAGGAAACAAAGATTAAATAACTTGCCTGAGATCAGTCACCTAGCTAGGTGTCTACAGAGCCAGGTGTTGAAGTCAGGTGTAACTCGGGTGCTCAATCCCTTTCTCGTCTCAAAGGGGGAAGATATATTCTAAAGCATTACACAGATTTTATAAAATGCTAATGATCTGAAATCTGTTTTTAAAATCCTCCTTCCTGGCACACTGAGTTTCTTACACTTGCTGAGTCAAGACAAGCATGACAGGGAGCTTGTGTCATTCAAGAGCACTGTCATGCCGTGTCATAGTAAGAAACTGGAGACTTTTACCTAGCAAGGGATGAGATTTTAACTATTTTATTTTCAGTTGTTTTATACGCCTCAACACACAGTTTGCTCTCTTTTAATTAGTCCCAAATTTATTGCCAGCATAAAGTCCAGTTTTAAACAAGTTCCATGTATTTTGCCTAAGACCAAGTTAGCCACAGCCTTGACTTAACAGTTTCGTCAATTTGACACTAAGGACTATGGAAAGAGAATTACCACTGGCCCTTCCTATTCGTACATCCTTACTTTCTAAGAGATCCAGATGGCTTAAAGATCCTTGGGTGAAATGGAAATTTCTACCGCTCCAATTATATAGCTCATAATCATATGGGGTCCCAGGGGCTGCCATGAATTCCACATAGCTTTTAGAACTAGACATAAACTGGGCCCAATCTAAAATACTAGGAGCTCCTAAAAAGTACAGAGTTGGGAAAGAAAAACAACAATCTACTGACAATCAATTTGCCACACGTGGCATAAGCACTTCGCATGTGGCAGCTCATTTGATATTTCTAACCGTCCACATCATAAATTAGTTCTTCTCATTTTATAGAGGAGAAGGCTCCAGAAACTAAGCCAGTTTGTCTACGAGCATGCAACTTGTCAAATGGCAGAGGTGGGATTCCAACTCCTGTCTCCTCCATTTTCTAATACCCCTGCCTCTGCTTCATGGACAGGCATCCGTGAGGAGTTCCAAAAGAGAACTGTACCGACCTCAGGAAATTCTGTAATACTCAGGGAGTGCCAGACTCTAAAGGGCAGAACGTGTCATAGTTTCAAAGAGATTGAGCCAAACAGTCCATAAACTTGCAGGTCCCAGTGCCTGTTAATATTCAAAAAGCCGTTATACTCTTTTCTAGAATTACAAAAACCTCAAATACTCACGTACCCCTGCGGTTTTGTTGTTTTGGTCAAACAGAATACGATGATCACTGAAGAGCTTTGAAATATTTTAATAGACTTCACTTAAACATATAAAACAGATTCGAAGGATCAAATCCCTACACTCAAATGAAAGTCATCACACACAAAAATTGAAAAGTATGCTAAAACCAAAAGCTCCCTGATAACAGATGTTTTTCATCTACTGATTACCTCTCTGCAGCACTAGCTATGTGAAAAATGTGCTCATCTTCATTCTGTAACCGCTCTTTTCTCCTTCTTTCAATGTCATGCCGTAGGTCATTTGGGTCTATTATTTTGACCAGAGTCTGAGGAATTTTGACAGAAGACAAACCATTCACATTACTGTTAGTTGCACAAAGACCATATTTAATAAGTACCTTAAGTAAAAGTCCTAAATAAGTTACCTTGTATTCATCCTGCTAATGGTAGTATAAAGTGATTAAAATATTTTGAGACATAATTAACAATGCACACACAGAAAAGTTCATAACAATGAACCAGGAATCCCACTTCTGGGACTCTATCCCAAAGAAAAAGCTATCTACCCAAATATATTCAAAGTGCTATATTTAAAGTCATCAAAAAATAAGAGCAACTGAAATGTAAAATAAATTTAAAAGGGACGGGAAGAACGATTTTATGGTAAATTTAAGTCAAAGTAATAACGTACAAGCACCTGAATTATGGTTAATATAGACCACGTGGAAGTCAATGTGAAAAAAAAACCACAATTACTGAGAAAAGTTAATGAAAACTTAAAAAGCCTCAATCATACAAACTCGTAGGGGAGCTCAGAGATTTTACGTAAAAACAATACTATTAAGTAAAAAGAAGAGCATTTAAAACTACATTTATTATGACAGTGGCTTGTAAAAGTGCCAGATGTAAGACCATAAGAAAAGATGGTCAAATGATGTTTTGTGTTAAGTAGTTGAATTAGAGGTGATTTTTCAAATTTCCTATGGGTTGACTACAATATTTTGATCAATAGAAATTTTCTGAAAATAGCATTTATTCAGTAAATGGTATCTCTAGAAGTTTAATAAAAAATGTAACCATTCACAAGTGAAAAAAATTATTTACATATTCTATCAGAAATGTATTAAAATCCTTCCTCTACAAAAACACTTTATTCTCAATGAATAAATTAGCGGTTCTTTTAGAACTCCATATACTTCTAAAATGAGAGCCAGTTTTCTTCCTCTCCTCCCACCAAGTCAAGAGAGGTTTTCTAATTAGTAAAGAAATGGTGGGGGGGAGGTTGAGGAAGTGTCGGGTAGAAATACAATGTGTGGCAACAAAAAAAATTCAGTATCATTTCCATTGTTTTGCTAGTTCATATTCCACAGAAGTGTTCATACCTTCTACAGTGAGCAGAGGGCAATAGCAAACGAAACTAAGTTTCTCTGCCTTCATTCCACATACAGTTTTAAAAAATATTCCACATGACTGCTTTGGAAAAAAATATAGGTATCAAATAAATTTTCCACCAGCCTTACAGTGTTAAGTTTGGGAAGGAATATTAAACATTGTAACTGTATGTCAATTTTACAAAGCTGTTACCCCTAGGGATTGTCTCTCTTAGGGAATATTTTTGTCTTTTGTCAGTGCTCTCTCTTCACTCGGAGAGCTTTGTAAATTTCAGGTTCCTGAGTCTCAATCCTTCTTTCTCATCTACTTTAACCTCCCTTTTTTTTTTTTTTTTACTCCCAATTACCAGTTCCCTTTTCCATCAATATGCCAACCAAAGGATACTGTTTCATCAAAAATTGTATTCACTTACCTGTTCTGATTCATATACCATTGTTTGTTTATTCTGAAGCTCAGCCAAAGACATATCTAGTCTCCTAAAATAATAAAGGCATATTACAATTAAATAATTATGTTATACACGGATACCTTGATTCCATTACTACAGAATGGAATTTGGAATAAAGCTGGTATGTCCTGGAGGATGTAAAAAAGAATCGTGCTACTAGGTGGGTTTTCATCTACACGGTCGTCTCCCAGGACATACATATCCTGTGCACAACACAGTGATGCCGTCCCAGTGGTCCTCAAATCACTAGCCCGTGTGACCTTAAACTTTGCTCCGGTGATCTACTGCATTCTAACATTGATTCAGCTCAGCTTGCAAGACAGGGCACACCACCTGCTTGGACAGGTGCCAGCAGAAGGAGACATAGGTTTTCATCCGGCTGCCCTCAGAACAGCCATTTCTGACCACATGACGCAACCCATGATTTCAATGGCTCGACAACTGTCTTTCATTCTTCCAGTGATAACTTCAGTAGGCAATTACTATAGACACAGCAGAATCAAAGTTAGGTAGGTAAAGATTGTCAAAGTGCTCCACATTTAGGCAATGCTAGTCAACGGCTTTTAATACAGCCTGTTCCATCCAAGCGCACTGGCCCAGTACCTGCTTGGGTTCGTCCTGCTTCTGGGTAGGAAATGCTATCCTAGAGTCTACGGCAAGCCCAGAAGGCAGCACCTTCCCAAATATGTTCTGAGGCTTATTCCCATGAGTTAAATGGGCATACAGTAATCAGTCGTTACCTGCGAATTTCTGGATCTGAATTCAATTTAACTTCATTTACATCTGCAGCATGTGTATCTTGCATTTTTGAGAAACGCTCATGTAGAGTAATGTCAGCTGATGAAAAATAATTTGCTGCAAAAGGAAACAAATAGTTTTATCTCAGTGTAAAACTGATTCCACTTAAAAGATTATATATAAGCACAGGAAGAAGGGACTGTTAAAAACCGTCCAACCTGTTTTCTCTTGAAAATATGTGGGACCTAAACTTATTCCACAGACTAATTTCTAGTGCTCACGTGGTTTCGCAAGCCTAAGCAACAGTAAAAAAAAAAAAAAAAAAAAAAAAAGCCTGACTTATGAACCCAAGGATTCTGTTCCTACTCGACATGTCTGCTGATTGGTTGGAGGGGGGGAAAGACAGTGGCTCTCTCAAAGTGAGGGCCTTCCCTCTCCCAGTTAAGACTTTACTATACTGGGAAGTAAAGATGGTACAGAGTTTTATAGGTGACCTAGAGTAAAATATAACTCAAGAACAACCCTGAAACATCAGAACGATTCTGAACAAATGCTAAATGCTGTTTACGTATCACAGAAAGAGTCCTATTGCCATTTTACTTTAATTAACAGTAACTGAAGTTCCTAAAGACATTCTGAGATCAGCTATGCTGCGAAGCTTTTAACAGGACAGAGAGAAAGATAATACACTTAACCCAGCAGAAGGGTACCTAAGCGATCCTTTTCCCTAACTTACTGTTCCTGTTCTGGGACAAACCTCCTGGATTTTTCTGCAACACCTGCTCCCTTTCTGCCAAGAATCACACTTCCGTTGGGTGAGAGGGGCTGGAACTGAGAAGGTGAACTGTTCCAGACAAACTGCATGCTTCAAAGTAAATACATGCCTTAGTTTGAGGGATGCAGAGAAAATTCATTCTCAAAATATGTTAAAAAATCAGTGCAGTTGTCTGGTAAGAAATATAAAGTAAAAATTTTGAAATTCTTGAAGGTCTCCAGTTTATTATACCCATGCCTGCTTTATTACGCAGCATCAATGAAGAAAGTTGTTCTACCTGACTGAATTTTCCAATTAATGGAAATTGGCCAGAAGCTAAAACAAAACAATTTACTGCAGATATTCAAAATATTTATTATGCAACTCCTTGATGTCATCAAGTATGCCAAAATGAACTGGAATCTTTTATCCATCACTTCACATTCATCCTTATGGCACAGAGTCCCAGTAATGCGCTCAGGGGGCTTTAAGAACATCACCAAAAGACCTAGACTTCCAGAGTTCCCGAGTGTCAAGTTTCCTATGTGGTGTTTGTTGCTTCCTCCTTCTTGTTCGATTTTCAGCTAATGTTTCTTGCTGCTCTCAGGAGGCCTGTGTCTTGCAGCGGGCAACGTCTCCCTTTCAGTGTGTAACCTACTCTGAGTGGAAGTACCCAGTTAGGGGAACAACACATGAGGAACCAGGCTTGAATGAATACCTTACACCCTCTACAACAGATTTCCTTATTAATGATCTAATTTGTAATGAAATACTAATTGCTACTACTATACCAGATAGTTACCTATATCTTGTGAAAAGCCAGTACATTATTTTTGTGGTATCCCTAATGTATGTGCAAAATATACCAACCTTTAACTTGATGGATTATAGTTATGATTTCCTGAGCAAATTCTCCTGTAGGTTTGTTTTCAGTATTCTGAGTTGAGTCAAGATGTTCAAACACTGGATGAAAGTTCTCACTTTTCCTGCCAACAGCAACCAAATCATGTGACATCTGTCTCTCTGTGGAATAGCTAGAAGCAACCCTAGAATAATTTGTAAATGTTTAACTAAATTTAAAACTATTTTACTTATTAAAAATTAATCAAGATAGCTATAAAACTAAAAGGATGTTTATCTTTTCTTATAATTAAGGCATTAAACTGTGTGCCATAAAACGTGCAATAATGTGTAGGAGAAAATAGCTACAGATGCATGAGTTTGAGTTCTCCTTTTCAATCAGAGATCATTAAATATCTGCCACTTTAATAATAAAATGCTCAGCATTCTAAGTTAACCAATTTTTACCTAAAAAAATACAGCAAGGCATCAAAGGTCAATATGCAAAAAATAATCAGTTAGATTATTTTCTACTCCCAAATGTCTAGAAAATTATAAATCCAGCAAGCTTATACTATCTTGAAGTACTACCACACTTTAAAAGCTGATATTAAACATAATGACTTCTTTGACTTCATAAAAATCCTTATAGTTCTGCATCAGTCATGAGAAACGTAGTATTTTGAAATCAAATTCTGTTGAGATGAACCACTTACAAAATCTCACTAAACTGTCAGCAAATAATCCTAGCTGTTAGCAAAGTTATTATCATTAGAACCAATTACAGTGTTCACCTTAAGTGTGTCTTTAAAAAAAATGATACCATTTATTATATAACCTCAGCTATCTTACCCCTTTCATGCTTTCGGAATCTCTGTAACTTGTGTTAAAAGCTCTCTTGACCTTTAGGCATCATTATAAAGTCATGATTATGACATCCGGCTAACAGTTACTGAGGGCTCACTGCAAGCCACACACGGGGGCTCAGAACTTGTTTGCGAACATTTTCTAGTTTAATCTTTCCAACAGCCCTAAGAGGGAGGTGCTATGACACTGAGACAATGGATGCCTTGGTTGTTTTGGTTTACATCCCAGAGGCTGAGTGTTCCTAGGAACATAATCCTTCCAAGTGTCGTAAAGGGAAACAAAGCCTTATTCCAAAAAAGCTGCTCTCGCTTAAAACTACTCTGAAATTCTTTGCCTGGAGGCAGATTATATGTCACAGAAGAAAATGTCTCATTATTTTATATTTATACCTCATTTTGGACCCAAAATGGCACTAACTAGCTTACACCCATCTTACTCCTCTGCATTTAACTCTAAATAGCTTTCACCTCTTCCCAAAAATCATGTTCACTACCCAAAGAATTGAGATTTACAAGTGCTGGAGTTATATATGAGTATGTTATAGGCTCTGAAGATAAACCCAAAAGAGAGCCCTGAAATATGTTTTAAATAACAGTAGCACCCCTGGAATAAATGATCCGTCTTCATAGAACAAATATCAATCAGATGGATACATGCGGGGTGGGGGTGGATGCATGCACAAATTTACTTATTGAAGTCACTTCACAGCCATATATATAAAACTGCTCCAGGGTAATCAGGAGCTTCCATATACTCTTTAAACTTTTTAACTTCTCTCATAAGATGGTTTTAAGTGCCTATTTCTAACTTCTCAGAGGCAAGGCTTCCATATACTTTCTATGCTCCCTGCTCTCAAGCTGGCACTGTCGAGACAACTCCGTGCCAAAGCAGAGCCCGGGAAAAGTGATTACGCAGGAGCCTGAAGCCACTGGTAAGGTGTCCTTGATTCATCAGAAGGACTTTTCATTAGAAGACCCACTTCTCTTCTTTCCTCCTAATTTGCTCCAAGCTTCCCACTGTGTATCTGATAACAAGCTGAGACATTTAGTGATAAACACTAAAAGCCAGAATGGCCCTATAACAACCTCTACGAGCAAAGACTTACAAATACTGTGTTTAACAGTACAAAATGCCTGTTCCATAGTCCCCAAAACTTGCTTTTAAAAACATTTTACAGGGGGCGCCTGGGTGGCTCAGTCGGTTAAGCATCCGACTTCGGCTCAGGTCATGATCACACAGTTGGTGGGTTCAAGCCCTGCGTCGGGCTCTGTGCTGACAGCCAGCTCAGAGCCTGGAGCCTGTTTCAGATTCTGTGTCTCCCTCTCTCTCTGACCCTCCCCTGTTCATGCTGTCTCTCTCTCTCTATCTTTCTCTCTCCCAGAAATAAATAAAACATTAAAAAAAATTAAAAAACAATTTTACAGGAGAGGGGTACCTGGGTGGCTCAGTTGGTTAAACGTCCAACTTTGGCTCAGGTCATGATCTTGTGGTACGTGAGTTCAAGCCCGTGTCGGGCTCTGTGCTGACAGCTCAGAGCCTGGAGCCCGCTTCAGATTCTGTGTCTCCCGCTCTCTGGCCCTCCCCCACCCACACTTTGTCTCTCTCTCTCTCAAAAATTAAACATTAAAAAAATAAAAACATTTTGCAGGAGAAAAATAAGATGTTCAATTAGAACTATAAAAATGGTCTTTCCATAAGGGGAAATCATTTGATAACATTTTGTACTGCAGCCTCAGTTTCTCCCATGAGGAAACCAGTTGATAAAAGTTTCCAGGTTTCTACCAGGTAATTATTTAAAAAATTTTTTTTTACATTTATTTATTTTTGAGAGACAGAGGGGGACAGCGCAAGAGTGGAGGAATGGCAGAGAGAGGAGACACAGAATCTGAAGCAGGCTCCAGGCTCTGAGCAAACATTCAGCACAGAGCCCTATGCAGGGCTCAAACCCATGAACCATGAGATCATGACCTGAGCTGAAGTCGGATGCTTAACCGACTGAACCACCCAGGTGCCCCTCCGCCAGGTAATTATTAAAATTTACTTGATGGGGCGTTTGAGTGGCTCAGTTGGTTAAGAGTGTAACTTCAGCTCAGGTCATGAACTCATGGTTTTTGAGTTTGAGCCCCGCGCCGGGCTCTGTGCTGAGAGTTCAGAGCCTGGAGCCTGCTTCGGAATCTGTGTCTCCCTTTCTCCCTGCCCCTCCCCGATTCTTTTCTCTCTCTCTCTCTCTCAAAACCAAATAAAAACATTGAAAATAAAATTTACTTGCGATTTATTATAAGTTAATTACTGGTATAAATCTTATACCCACTCCATGCCCAACCTTCAATCCCTAGGAGTGCTATGGTATACTTTACAGTTCTACTTAATTTCTGAAATTTTAAGGTTAACGTTTGCTATTAATTTATCCTGGAGTTACTCCACTGCAAGATTTTTAATTAAAAGATGTTAAAATTGTCATTTCCTAGGAAATATTAAAACTGAAATGTTAGTCTTTTGAAAACAATTATCAGAGTTTTGCTATAAGAAAAGGCTTCCTGAAACTGGAGAACACAAAACGTTCTAAGTATTTACATTTGTACATTTCATCACCTCTTGGTTCACATTTTCCTCTTTTACTTTTTCCTAAGACAAGTATTCATTAAAAAGTTGATGATTTCCAGAAATATTCCCAGTATGAGTAGTTAAGCTGAAAAGACCAAATGTTCTCATTTGAGATGCATTTTAGACCGTTTTAAAAATTAAAATATAGCCAAACACCCGTACTCTAGTACTATTTATGATACTGGTCTGATGAAATCTTCCAGGTTCCTCTCTTTTCTCCCCCACACTCATTTTTCTTTTTCTCTAAGGAAAGAGAAAATTCTCACTGAGTGTTGTGCCTACTAACTAGGAAAACATAAAAAGCTACATTAAACCTTAATTTCCTCTTGTACACAGTTAAGATCCATCGAAAAACACAACTGCGTGCCAAAACAACAGTTACAAAAAGCCCAACAACAATCAAAACTAATGGATAATCCCCTGTCCTCTGGAAGCTTAAAATACAGAACAAAATCCATGGGACACATATCAAGTTTTCCTTTCTCGGTTTTCTCCTACGAACTAACCTTCTGTACAATATCCTATAGCTGATAAAGAGCGTTCCCAATTATTCACGTGCTCCTGTCTTCCTGAGAAGACATTTAGCTTTTCTGGAAGTGAGGGTAAAGGGTTAGGGAGGCTGTTGATTCCCTTAATTCAGCATCTCGTTACTTTTTTCACAAGTGCCCTAACTTGGCCTCCCCGCTCCTCGTGCCCTTCCATGTCACAGGTGCCTTCCGAGGCCGTCCTGCAGCAGCCGGAACGAAGTTTCCTGCCCTCTCCGATCAGTGAGTCCTGTCAAATCAGGCTGCCGGGGCAGCAGTCTTACCTTGGCAGCCTCCTGTCCCTCTATTCCCTTTCACTTACTGCTTGGAACCACAGCTCAAAGTCCCCGTGTGTGTTCTGCCTTTGTTAACCTATATATATACAATGTCTTTCATCTTGGGGCGCCTGGGTGGCTCAGTTGGTTAAGCGTCCAACTCTTGGTTTCGGCTCAGGTCATGATCTCATGGTTTGTGGGTTCAAGCCCCACGTCAGGCTCTGCATGGTCTCTGCATGGACAGTACGCAGCCTCCTTGAGCTTCTCTCTCTCTCTCTCTCTCTCTCTCTCTCTCTCTCTCCTTCTGCCCCTCCCCTCCTCTCAAAATAAAATGTCTTTCACCTCATCTCCATCTTCAAATGTTGAAAACCTTTGAAGCCTAGCTCACATATCAACAACTTCTAAAAGAAGCCTTCTTGGAATCCCCCAGTTTGGGATGATCTGAGTCCCACCTGGTGTATCATTCACTGTGTCATAGCATTACCAATATCACCCTATTATCTAATAGATCAGTGGAGAAGAAACCCAATCCTATGCTGAATTAAAGTCTGAGAGTACCCTAACAGGCTATCTCACACAAGGGAGGTCTTCAAAAAATTACCTGCTGAATGAATAAATGATAAATGGAAAACAACTTGGACAATGTGAAATGAGAATTTCAGCTAAAAAGATGAGAGACTTTGAAATTCTAACTGAGGCCAACTTAACTGTGTTTTTTAAACTTTCTTGGCTTACTTTTTATTTTAAACTTATCTTAATTTAGACCAATTTAAATTTTAAATATTTCATTTTTTATAATACAAAATTTCAAATACACACCAAAGTTCAGAGAATCCTACAATGAGCCTGTCAACCCAGCTTCAATAGTTACCAACACACGGCCAATGGGACCAGCGCTGTAGAGCCAGGAGGAACTGCAAGTGAATAGGGGCCCCAAAGGCATGGCCAGGCGATCTGCCCAACATCACAGAGCTGCTTAGGGACCCACTGGAAGACCAAAACCTATGCACCCTAGCCTGAAACAGAATGTTCATCTTCTTCTGGTGGGACCCTTCCAAGTTCATCTTATCCTATACTAGGATAAAATAATTAAACTCATTAAAAGAAGCTAAGGTGAAAAATAAGAAGGAAAGGGAAGCTTCTCTCAATTAATTTTTGATTTTTAAAAACATATATGAGAAATATTAGGAGGATAGGAAACCGTAGGTTTTGTGATACCTAACAGTGAGGTAGCACATCTGGGTGAGCACAAAAATATCTCCACTCATAGCTTATGTCGCCTCCCACTGAACAGTGCCTATCAGAGGTGGGCACGCTTGCGTCACTGGGTTACCTTCCTTCAGGGCTTGTTAGGGTTCTTCGCGTTGTTCCTCCACCCATGCGGCACCCCTTTCCTTAGAACATCAGGGCTCCAGTGTCTTCTGGGGCCCATTACTCACCTCATCCCCCTTCAGAATGGGGAAAAACCTAGGGGAAGACCAGAATGGGGTAGGGAGGCCCTTCCTGTAGCTCTTGGGGGGCGGGCGGTAGGGACAAAAGGATTATATGCAAATATGACTCATCTACTCTGTCCAACATCAACTTTGCTAGCCGACCTCTCCATCCTAGATGCCTAGTACCAGCATCCAGGGAGGTCAAAGGAGCCTCAACTCCATCCGCACCAGCTTATTCTTCTCCAGAGACTAGCACCCCCTCCTCCTCCCTCTCTTCCACCCTGGCCTGAGCAAGGTTTAGTCTCTCACCTACTCAACCCACCATTAAACCAAAACGTCCTTCATCTGCCCCAAGACTTCAAGATGTACACAAAAGTGTTGGGAATTCACGATAACATTAACAGAAATTTTCATGACTCCTTAACTTACATTCTGAAATATATTAATTATGACTTACATGTAAACTTCTACCTCTGATAATGCAATTTCTGACAAAGTGGGTCATTAGAATATAGCCTTTGTTAACAGAAGTATTAACTATGCAGTGAACATTCAAGCAAGGGTCTACCTACTGCTGTTCTAGATCCCCATTCTAGATACCAATTGGAATCTTGAAAAATCACTAGCTCAATCACATGTTTTCAACTACACTGATAACTGGAAGAACATACATCAATATGTGACCAAAGCTAAGAAAATAAGCAAATGCATAAAATTACTAATCTCAGATTTCCCCTCAAATGGATAAACCCTCTAGATTTTAACCAACAAATAAACCTCTCTCCACTCCATGATTAGTTTAATTTTTTCAAGCAGAGGAAAATCTAAGTTATGTTAAGTTGAGAACACGACTCTGTTGAGGACACTGACTACCTTCGTTTTATGGATACTTTGTCAGTCCATACATAATTAAATCCAACCCCACAAAACTCTTCCACAACTTAACCATTCATCAATAATGATAATCAGAGAGAAAGATTTTGTTGGCTGTGCATTATCATACTGAAAATTGCATATTTTTATTAAGTTATTTATTCATCTTTGAATAGAAAGGATTTGCAGTGTAAGCTCTTTATTACACAAGCCGTCCTACGGGTCTTTGTCAGGTAATTCAAACATGTGCTGACAGGTCATGAATTTCACAAACTTACAGATTATAAATTCAGAAGTGATACAGCAGCTTCAATTTTAGGAAGCTCATTTTTTGGTGACACATGATGAAAATCAAGTTTGCATTTCTTGATATCTAATTACAAAATTAACTCCGTTCAGTACTTCTAATGAGGTCTATTAAAGTGAAATCCTTCAAAATTCGTACTTCTAGCATTCTTTAAAACTGCTAAGCCAATTTTTTTTAGTATTTACTTTTGTATAATTTACTGTCAAGTTAGCTAACGTACAGCACATACAGTTTGCTCTTGATTTTGGAGGTAGATTCCTGTGGTTCATCACTTACATACAACACTCAGTGCTCCTCCCAACAAGTGCCCTTTTAATTCTTTTTTAACTTCCTTATTAAATACGGGGGTATCATTACTTCTATTTAAAAAATTCAAGACTTTCATGATTTGATTTATGTAATTTTATCTCCACAGGGAAAAAAGGTGAACAAAAATGAAATACTGAAGTATTTTAAGGGGAGTATACCGATATCTACAATTCATTTTGAAATGTATGGAAAAAATAAGATCAAAGTATTGATGAATAGATGGATAGTGATCATGGAAGTAGAGTAAAATATTAATTGCAGACACTCGGTGGTGGATATATAGGTATTTACTGTACAATTCTTTCAACTTTTCTGTATATTTGAACATTTTCATAGTATAATGTTAGAAAGAAAAAAACCTTAAGGTAACATCCTTTGAGTTGATCCTTACATCAGCTTTTGCGCTCTTAACGTTAAGAACTAGTAGGAAATATAATGGTACAAAGTGATTTAAGACTTATTAGATGAAGTAGGATACAAAATTATAAATACAGTATTATGACAACCATGTATAAATATACACAGAAAAATAACAAAAGAGCTGTACTAAAATATTAATAAAACTGTCCTAGGGTAGTAAAATTATGTAATTAGTAAAATTATTATCCCCTCTATTTGTCCAACTTTCTATAATATAATCATATTTATAGATGCTTTCTGTGCACATAGAAATATACATATGTATATTTTACAGTATTTTTTCTAAGCACAATGAATGTAAGGCAAATATGAGGGAGGGGCACTGCCATAAGAAAAGGAACAAAATATATTTGTTTAAAAAAAAAGGGAGCAAGCCTGTGGATTTACCTCCCTCCCTGTCACATCTTCCCTTAGATTTTGTTTCATCTTGTTTTTGATTGAAATACAGGTATGAGTGAGCTGTGAACATAAAGGCACCAAATTAACATGTCCCATCACTTTTTTATTCACATAATGGTAATATAGTAAGGTAATAAACAGACTTAGCTGACAAAGCCAACTGCAGTGCCTTGTTATTTCCATAATCCGTAAACAGAGGTAATATGCACAATGGAACAAAGCATGCGAACCACTTTAGCAGAATATACCCTATTACAACAGCAGTCTATTTTTTTTTTAAAGAATCCTTGACAGCTAAACTGAATGGCTAATAAATAGGCCTCTCTCTAGAATCTAGCCTAATTTCCTCTACCTCGGAGAATCTATTCAGCTGAGCACCAACTGTTTTGGGAGGGCAGCAAGAACCAGATTAAGTCACCTGCTTCCTTGAGCCGCAAGTGCTCTGACTTAGACAAGTTGCTTCACCTCTCAAGGCCTCACTTTCCTCCTCTATAAAAACTGGGCCAGCTAAGTAAGGTCCCTTCCAGATCAAAAATTCTCTGGACTGGAGGCCACAGGGAAAACAGGCTCTGAGAGACTGAGCAAGGAATAGGTCCCCTTGAACTCTACACAGCCTATCCCCGGCTACAGAAAATCTGGCAGCACAAAAACACATAAATTCATTAAGAGGAACAAGTCCACAGAGTGCCCTGTGCCCACAAAGCATCTTGAGATATGATGTGGAAACAAGCAGACATGAGATCATTCCGTACTACCAATCATGGGATTCATCCTCATTACAGGAGGAATTTGAAAAATCCAGGCAATCTTTCCCCACTCAATTGACTCTAAACACAGTTAATTCCATTTTTAAAGCTTCAAATAAAGGTGGCAGAAACAGATTATTTTTCTTAAATAGCACTAAGAAAAACCAAAAACAATACCTGGATGTATTTACTGTTTTCTTCACATCTACTTTAACAGTAAATGATTTCTTCCTAAGACTGGCAGATGAAGGTTTCACATTGGAAAACTTTTTACTTTTACGGAGTTGGTTACTGGAAGAGTTGCTCTCTTTTCTGCCATCCCCATCTTTCTTTATTTTCTCCTTCCGTTGGTCACTGTAGGGTCTCAGGCCAATGTCACTTTTGCGTGAGTTAGTAGAGGCAGTGCAGTCTTTCTTAGATGGTGTTCTCAGAGGTACCTGGACTTGCCCACCTTCAGTCTCTCTCCCTCTTCCAGCATCAAGACAAATGGACTGTCTACTTACGGGGCCTTTTTGAGAACTGTATTTTCTATCTTCTTCCTTAGAGTACTTCGGAATTCTTCCATCGGAAAAGTCCTTGTTCCCACCCAAGGTCTTAGGACGTTTGTGGCGATAGTCACAGTATACCCTGGTTGCCAGACTGGTCTCTGGGGGTTCCCTCTGAGCACGTCGATGAGTTTGGGGTCCAAGGTTCCATTGCTGTTTCTTCCCTTGATAAGAAGGAAGAGAATGCTTGAACTTCCACTGTGGGTTCCTGACAGGATCTCTGTTTTCGTACCTTTCCACGTCTTTAGGTCTTTCTGATGTGTGTCCATATGTTCTGAAATCACGATCCTCAGGATACCTGTGTTGACATAAAGCAGTTTATACTTGCACTAGAGAGAAGAAAGTGAGAATTTATATGTGTGAAATGTTGGGCAGCAGGGCTTTAAATGCAGAACGCAGTGGCAAGTTAACTATAATCCCTCAAGCCAACTCACAGAGGCACAAGGTAGCAAAAGAGGAAAATACCATCTTTTGTTAATATTCTAGCCATCAACATGATTTACTCTATAAATAAATACTTCACTACTACCAGTAGACCATAATTACATTATAATGCTTTTTATCTTTTTAGACAAAAGCTTTTCAAGGTGGTTATCTTCAACCATAAAGTAAATAGACTTTTTCACTTGAAGCTTTATACCAAATTACCCAGGTTTAATGTTTTCCTATACCTCCTCTGAAAAGAGCTCCTTTTCTCAAAGTCTTCAGAGCCTCTTCTAAGTGACTGAGAATGGTTTTCATCTTGTATCCTCTGGTGCCTCAACTCATCTTCAAGCCACGTTCCTTCGAACCTAAAAGAATCTGCTATTGACCTCTGGGGTGGCTTCCCTCCTTTTCCACTTCCTCTAACTCTGTGGTCATCAGGAATATACCTTCCTTGTACGTTCTGGGGATAAAAATCCCTCTGGTTCTCCTTGTAGGGTACACCTTCTGAGTATCTGGGCATATAGTACGGTCTTCTGTTACCATCCCTTCTTCCTGGTAAGTATTCTCGGTAAGGCTTAGAAGTATAAACATTTTCTGAAGAGGTTCTTCTTATGTTTGGGGAAGGGAATCTATGTTCATAAGATCGGTAATGTATATTTCCACGAGAAGGAATCCTTGGTTTACTCTGTCCATATTTCTCACTGTCCATTCGCCAAGGGGTGGGTCTTTTTGGATCCTTCCTGTATTCAAAGCCATAATGCCCATGAGAATATCTTTGCTTGTAGTGTTCAGCATTTCTAGGTACTGGTGATAAAGACCTATGTAAACAAACAGAAAAGTTCAGTACATTTAAAGACAACAAACTAAGTCTGTCTTAACATGACCAACTTAAATAAAACAGTTGCTTTCCACGGTTTCTTCCACTCAAATTAAATTCATCAATTTGCTGTATCTGTATTCTAAATTGCCCATTTGGGTGTCTGATTACTGCTCTGAGCAATTCAACAAGCATACTCTTTCCATCAGAACTAATGTACCCCATGTGCATATCAAAATGGGCTGAGCATAGCCAGTGCGCTACAGGAGGACCAGGTCAGGTACACAAGAGCCGTTCTGGAAGACTGCTGACGGCAAAAGTTTAGGCAAAAGACCCAGTCATCAAAAGCTTGCATCAGGTTGAATGGTCAGGGAAGAAGCAGGCAAAATGAAGGCTCGATTCACACAATAGGTAGGAGAGTCTCTGGCAAACAGAACAGAACTTCTGAAATTAGATTCTAAGAGTTTATAATATCACAATAAGCCCAAACTCACTCAAAACTGGCCCTGCAGTTTCCCCAACTGATTGGCTATTCTCTCTACTAAAGCTATATCAAGAAGCAAAAAAATACATACTTAGTGTGCAGAGTGGGAGGGGGAAGAGGATATTAAGACTTAAACTATTCTTAGTTTCTCCATAAAAACTACTAACACAGACAAACTGCTTTTCTTTCCTGGACCTGTTCCCTTACATGCGCTGTTGAAAGAGAGCTTGTAACTTCGGTGAATGTGGGCTTTCATGTAGCTGTCATGTTCCCCGGGAACAGCACACCTTTTCTGTAACTACCTTCCCCAATACCTTGGCATTGCCAACACCAAGGCTTCACTCCCACAGAGGAGGAAGAAGGCCCCTGTACCCAGGAAACAAGTCTGAGTTGTGTGGACCTCAAGAGCAGAGAGAAAGCACCACTATGTGGGATGCAATAAAGTTCAATTTTGCATCTGGGGACCTCTCCTCCCATCTAATCCACCTGATTTTCCAATCTCCTCCCTGAGGGCTTAACGTCTTCTAATCAATGAGGCAGCTGGCCTTGCAGCTTTTGTTACTGTCCACCTTCAGAGCTGCATGGAGTTGGAGTCAAATCCTTTCCACGTGGCGACATGCCTGTGTCCTCCCTACAAGAAAGGAAGCAGACTGATCTTCCTCACGTACATACTGCGACTTATATACTGGACTTGGCAACATCTCCTTCTGGAGTCACCAAGCTAGATGTACGAGCAAATGCATCATTTAGCCAAAGAAGAAACTCTGTCATCCAGCAGGCTGCACTTCATCACAGGAACAAGGAAGCAGAGACTGAGGACTTTCTGGAAGACGGCATCTCTTCATCACTAAGGAGAAAGTCTGGCAGCCAGACACAGAGGTTTTCCAGACTGGATGGAATACTCAACCTCTCACTTTAATCCTTACCTCATAATGAATATTGCTTTGTTATTATGTTTCATATAAGGGGTTTTATTGTATAAAGCCTGTTCTCTTGAAGGAGATTGCTGGAATAGTAACTAACATTTTCAGTTCTCCTAAAGAAACAATAGAGATCTGAGGAGTCTGTTGGGAGACAATTCTCCATGGGTCTCTTGCATCCTGCAGGCTTGGTAAGCAGAGGCACTGACAGCTTTTGTTCCAAACTTCACAGCCCCAGAAGATGGGGATGGGGCCTCCCTCAGGGAAAGAGGGCCAATCTGTTGGCGATTCAGGGTATGTCTCCTCCATCAAAGGCTGGGTGGATCTGCTTGTAGCCCTGATGAGGCTTGAGTTGCTTAGCGGTGCTGTCACTTCCCAGCTTCGCTCTGCGGCCCCCCGCCGTCAGGAGCCTTGGGAGTAAGGGAAACCCAGGAACGTGGGGCGGGTGGGCTGCCGTACCGCAGTTAATAAAGGCCTTTGTCTCTGACCCAGCAGCGGCTGTGGCAGGCTAATGTGTCAGCATGCAAGTACGGTAAAGTATCACACGCTTTACAGTTTCTGACAAAGCATTCTGAGAAGGAATCTAGAAATCAGGCACTAAGCTTGGCAGAGTCTTCTGTGCCCCTTCACCCAACCTATCACAAAAGGGTGACACAAAACAGCCTCTTTGATGCCTTCCATGTTAAAATCACTCACGTGTTTACGTTCCCTTTTCTTTTGGAAGCGTTACAATTGGGCTTTATTGTAGCCCAATTACAATTACAAAATGAATTACAAAATGAAAACTGTTACATGACTGATTTAGTCATTGCAGAATCATAATGAACAAGCACATGGGCCAAGTCGGATTAACATGAAAAGTTTTGCTCTGCTTTTTATGTATATAATTATGGTCCTTTTTTAAGTCCTAGAACGTACTAGTCACTTCCACAGCTTTGCGCCTTTGCTCCTATTGCCCTCCTTAACTGGAATACTTTTCTTCTTTCTTTCCACCTTTAGAAATTCTACCCATCCTTATATGGCCAGGTAAAATTGCATCTTTTCTTTGAAGACTTACTTAGTATCCACTTTTTCTCTCCATAAAAGCAGAATGATTCCCTCTGCACAGACCCACAATACTTGGTCCGAGGCAGTAGCCCTGCGCTTCTCCCACGGTCTCAGAGCTGTGGTGTCAGCCTCCCAGCCGGCCTGCATGCTTGCTGAGGCCCTGGAAGATGTCACTTGCCTCGGAAGCCCCAAAACTGTAGCAGGTATACAATGAACACTGGTGGAACTGTTCCAATCTAATTATATGTATATACTATTGATACTGCCAACCAGCAAAGAGGAAAGGTGAACCACAACTGAGTTACTCAAAACTCAAGTATTCTGCCATGAAGAAGAAGAAATAGGTAACTCCTGATTTTCTAACTCCCAATATTTTCAGAGATAATGATTATGAAAACAAATAATCACTCGAGAGTTCTCAACCACTTACTGATGCAAAAGATGTTAACACTCGAAGATGTTTCTCACTCTCCCTTGAGGGAGCCACTGCATTTCTTTTTATTATGGATTAATTGAGCTGCCAGCCATAATTACACAGAGCTGTCAGCCTTTAGAAGCTAGCAATACAAACGTTATCACTGTAAACTACCTACTGTGAATAACCAGGTCCCATGAGCTTAGGAAAATAGGTTCCTAACAGTACTACTGAATTTGCAAGTCAAAGCACATCCCAAACCCACAGTCGGCTAAACCAAGGACTGCTCACCTGTGTTTCCACCTGGGGGATCTGGAGCGTGACCGTGCCATCCTTTGACATGCGAGCCACTGTTTACTTTTTACACTGCAAAGAAATACAGTATTAGCAAGTTTGTAGAAAGAGCCTGCAATATGCTCTAAAAGCAGTGAACACCACCAACAAAAAGTTACTTAAGTTCTCTGTGCCTCAGTTTCCTCATCAATGAGGATCAAAATGGGGATGATAATAACAGGACCCACTTTATTAGAATGTTGTGAAGATAAAATGAATTCAATGAAGGGTCAGCAAACTTGTCCTATAAAGGGCCAGATAGTAACTATTTTAGGCTTTGTGGGCCACATAAGGTCTTGACTGCATCTTCCTCTTCTTTTTAAAACAACTCTTGGTTGGGGGCACCTGGGTGACTCAGTCAGTTAAGCGTCCAACTTCGGCTCAGATAGGTCATGATCTCATGGTTGGGGGGTTCAAGCCCTGTGTCGGGTTCGGTGCTGACAGCTAGCTCAGAGCCTGACGCCTGCTTCAGATTCTTTGTCTCCCTCTCTCTCTGACCCTCCTCTGATCACGCTGTGTCTCTCTCTCGGAAATAAATAAAAAACATTTTAAAAAATTTAAAGAAACTCTTGGGGCAACCAGGTAGCTCAGCTGGTTTAGCATCTGACTCTTGATTTCAGCTCAGGTCAGGATCTCATGGTTGGGGTGTGAGATCGAGCCCTGAGTTGGGCTCTGCGCTGACAGTGTGGAGCCTGCCTGGGTTCCTTTCTCCCTTTCTTTGCTCCTCCCCCCTTCTCTCAGAATGAACAGACTTCAAAAAATAAATAACAAATACAACTCTTTAAAAATATAAAACGAGGGGCACCTGGGTAGCTCAGTCGGTTAAGCATTCGACTTCACCTCAGGTCATGATTTCACAGTCCGTGGGTTCGAGCCCTGCGTCGGGCTCTGTGCTGACAGCTCAGAGCCTGGAGCCTGCTTCGGATTCTGTGTCGGCCTCTCTCTCTGCCCCTCCCCTGCTCACTCTCTATCTCTGTCTCTCAAAATAAAGACATAAAAAAAAATAAAATAAAAATAAATAAAAATATAAAATCATTCTTAGCTCAAGGGGCACAGGACAAGAGGCACTAAAGGTCAAATATACTGTAGTCTGATGATCCCGGAGTCAAGTCATGAAAAGAGCTTAGAATGGTGCCTGGCAAATAGCAACTGCCAAATAAGTGTTCCAAAAGGAAAAAATTCCCAGAATTCCTCTACCTGAACCACTACTACCTTCCTGTCTTTTACCATGTACATAAATACTTCATATAATCACAGTCAAAATGTTGAAGAATACTTGATGATATATCTTGTTTTTAAATTGCTGGATAATAAGAATTACAATTACAACACCTTATTATAGTACTCGACTGCTGCCTAAATTCCACTAAATATACCAAAACTTAAATAAGCATGATTAAACAGTTTGTTGCTGATTTTTGGTAAAACAAATAATGCCAAATAAATACATTTTAAAAGTTATGTAAACTTAATTTTTAAAATATTAATGTTTTAAAAGAAGTTGATAGCTACTAGAGCTGATCCATGAATTCAGCAAAGTTGCAGGATACAAAATCAACGTACAGAAATCCGTTGCATTTTTATACACTAACAATGAAGCAACAGAAAGAGAAATCAAGAAACTGATTCCATTCACAACTGCACAAAAAACACAATTGCATAACAAATACCTAGGAATAAACCTAACCAAAAATATAAGAGATCTGTATGATGAAAACTATAGAAAACTTATGAAGGAAATGGAAGAAGAAACAAAGAAATGGAAAAACATTCCATGCTCATGGATCAGAACAATAAATATTGTTAAAATGTCATTACTACCCAAAGCAATCTACACATTCAATGTAATCCCAACCAAAATTGCACCAGCCTTCTTCTCAAACCGAGAACAAACTATCCTAAAATTTGTATGGAACCACAAAAGACCCCGAATAGCCAAAGTAATATTGAAGAAGAAAACCAAGGGGCACCTGGGTGGCTTAGTCGGTTAAGCGTCCGACTTTCGCTTCGGTCATGATCTCGAGGTTCGTGGGTTTGAGCCCCGCATCGGGCTCTGTGCTGACTGCCAGCTCAGAGCCTGGAGCCTGTTTCAGAGTCTGTGACTCCCTCTCTCTCCGACCCTCCCCTGCTCACGCTGTCTCTCTCTCTCTCCCAGAAATAAATAAAACATTAAAAAAAATTTAAAACAAAAAAAGAAGAAAACCAAAACAGGAGGCATCACCATCCCGGACTTTAGCCTCTACTACAAAGCTGTCATCATCAAGACAGTATGGTATTGGCACAAAAACAGACACACAGACCAATGGAATAGAATAGAGAACTCAGATTTGGACCCAAAAGTATACAGACAACTAATCTTTGACAAAGCAGGAAAGAGTATCCAATGGAAAAAAGACAGTCTCTTTAACAGATGGTGCTGGAAGACCTGGACAGCAACATGCAGAAGAATGAAACTAGGTCATTTTCTCACACCACACACAAAAATGAACTCAAAATGGATAAAGGACCTGAACGTGAGACACGAAACCATCAAAACCCTAGAGGAGAAAGCAGGAAACAACCTCCTTGACCTCAACCACAGCAATTTCTTATTTGACACATCCCCAAAAGCAAGGGAATCAAGAGCAAAAATGAACTGTTGGGACCTCATCAAGATGAAAAGCTTCTGCACGGCAAAGGAAACAATCCAGAGAACTAAGAGGCAACCGACGGAATGGAAAAAGACAGTTGCAAATGACATATCAGATAAAGGGCTAGTATCCAAAATCTATAAGGAACTCACCAAACTCCACACCCAAAAAACAATTAATCCAGTCAAGAAACGGACAGAAGACATGAACAGACCATTCTCCAAAGAGGACATCCGCATGGCCCACAGACACACGAAACGATGCTCAGCATCCCTCCTCATCAGGGAAATACAAATCAAATCCACACTGAGATACCACTTCACGCCGGTCAGAGTGGCTAAAATGAGCAAATCAGAGAACTCTAGATGCTGGCAAGGATGTGGAGAAAGAGACACCCTCCTACACTGTTGGTGGGAATGTAAACGGGTGCAGCCCCTCTGGAAAACAGTGTGGAGGTTCCTCAAAAAATTAACAACAGAACTCCCCTAGGACCCAGCAATAGCACTGCTAGGAATTGACCCAAGGGATCCAGGAGTGCTGATGCATAGGGGCACATGGACCCCAATGTTCATGGCAGCACTCTCAAGAGCCAAACCATGGAAAGAGCCTAAGTGTCCATCCACGGACGAATGGATCAAGAAGATGTGGTTTATCTGTACAAAGGAATACTACATGGCAATGAGAAAGAATGAAATCTGGCCACGTGTAGCAATGTGGATGAAACTTGAGGGTGTTATGCTGAGCGAAATAAGTCAGGCAGCGAAGGACAGATACCATCTGGTTGCAGGTATAGGAGGATTAGGAGGAACTTAATGGAGGACCGCGGGGGAGAAGAAGGGGAAAAATAGTGGGGAAAGGGAGGGAGGCAAACCATGAGAGACTCTTGAATGCTGAGAACAAACTGAGGGCTGATGGGGGTGGGGGAGAGGGGAAGGGGGTAATGGGCATGGAGGAGGGCACTTGTGGGGATGAGCACTGGGTGTTATATGGAAACCAACTTGCCAATAAAATGTTTAAGAAAAAGAAAAAGGTGGGGGTCCCTTGGGAGAAAATAAGATTTAGTAATTCTGTGATGAAAAAAAGTATTAGTTAGAATATTTTTCTTTGAGGGATGCCTGGGTGGGTCAGTCAGTTAAGTGTCCAGCTCTTGATTTCGGCTCAGGTCATGATCTCATGGTTTGTGGGATCAAGGCCCGCATCAGGCTCTGTGTTGACAGTGAGGAGCGTGCTTGGGTTTCTCTTTCTCCTCTCTCTCTGACCTTCATGCACGCTCATGCTCTCACGCTCACGCTATCAAAACAAATAAACATTAAAAAACAATATTTTCCTTTCATCATATTAGAATTAGTGTTATTAAAATTCAAACTTCACTCAAAAATTTTATTGCATAAAAATCATACCTCAAAGCTATAAAAATGTTAGCTTTAGGGTGATGAAAACCCTCTGAAATTAGATCAGGTATCATGAAGATGGTTGCAGAACTCAGCGAACATACGAAAAACCACCGAACCCACTCTAAACCTGTAAATTATATCTCAATAAAACTTTTTAAAATAGTGAACTTTGTTTGTAATTGCTTAGGCACATCAGCTAGTAATGAAAAGTGCTTAATGGATAAGAAAGGAAGAGAGTTTATTTAAACCACAAAGTGACTATATGCGGACCACTAAGCCTAAAATATTTACTATCTGGTCCTTTACAAACAATCTCTGATTTAAACTAGTGTATTTGTGACTAGCAAAATTAATGAAAGGAACCAACTTCCTTCTAAAATTTACAGACAGGGAGAAAGAAAAGACTGAAACACGAGCAGGGTTTGTTACAGGGGAAAAGGTGATGTCAGTAACAGGAGATAAATTTATGCTGCTACTTCAGAGTGAGCTGTACAGGGCCGGGTGCAGTGAATGAACCCACCTGTCCTTGAACACAGAAAGACAAATGGACAGTAAGTAGGGACCTTCACTCCAAGGAAGATGTGGACGAGGACACTGGTGCAAAAATAAGCCATCGCTATGAGAACAGCACTGGACACATCCTCTAACTAAGCTGAAAGACCCAACTCCAGCAATTTTCCTCTTCCTCCCACAGTTTTCCCCCTTCCAGTAGGTCCTTCCTGCCACCATACAACGTCCGTGTGATGAAGCTCGCAGCTCTCCAGACAGAACCACACCCTCCTGGGACTACCTCCCTCTTTCTCCATCTATAACCACACCCCTCAAAGGGCCGCCTGTGTACCACAGTCCTTCCGCTTTCTCTCCTATTCTTGCCCAGCCCCTCACCAATCTTGCCTTCGCACCCCCCACTGCGCCACACCGCTGGAGTCCGGATCGCTCACGAAACCCAGGTCACCAAATCTACTTGCTATTTCTCCTCTTCGTCCTCCCGGACCTACCAGCAGCACTT